CAATATTTGAACAAATGTATGTATACGATTATTCAATATTTGAACAAATGTATGTATACGATGATTATTAAGTCTTAATTAGTGTGATTAATGATTGATACTTTGTTTTATTCCATTCGTGCGGATTCTGAAAATGAAAATATTTGATTTTATTTTAGGCGGCAGCGCCAAATCAAAGAGCGTGGCTCGCAAGCTGTGGACCAGTTCTAGTCTCCCTGGGCGTCTTGATCGTGTACACCTTAGGTACCATCACGACGTGGCAAAAGGCGGCCGTTGTCAGTATCGGACCCGCGATTCTATCACTCGCGTTGATATGGTACGGTTGATTTACAATTGTGAAATAGAAATAATTGAATCTTTGGCGCACGAATTATCGCGCAAAAATTGATACTCACCGGTACTCACACTTGCCCTTATACTTCATTATTGTGAAATAAAAAGTCGTGAAAGTCTGTTTATTCCACTCACGCGTATAAAATCATAAAATTTCAAATATTTCCATAAAAATTCAATAGCAATTTTCCAAACATTAAACGAAATGATTTATTTCTGTAGGATAATACCGGAAACTCCCGCCTGGTTGGCTTCAAGGGGTCGAACGAATGAGGCCAAGGAGGCTCTTCTGTGGCTACGAGGTCCCGGATTGAACGTCAACGAAGAGTATCAAGAACTCTGCGAGACGAACGCGAAGCGGAAGGAGAAAAAGGAGAGTCTACTGCGGGCGTTACACAAACCCAACGTGTGGAAACCGTTTGCGATACTCTTCATCTTTTTCGCGCTCCAGCAACTGTCCGGCATCTACGTGATCCTGTTTTATGCTGTGAGCGTACTCAAGGATATCGGCATAGATATGAATGAATACGCGGCTAGCGTCGGCATGGGTGTCATCAGGCTGTTCGCGTCAATCCTCGGTGCTGGACTGGCCAACAGCTTCGGCAGGAAGATCCTGGCCTTCTTCAGTGGTTTTGGAATGGCTGTCGCCGCCGTGGGAGTCGCCCTTTGTTTCAGGTTTGCGTTTCAACTCCTTCAAGTTCTCGTATAATATATGAGAAACGATAAATAAAAAGAATTTAAACAGAATAAAAAAGGGCTACGAGCAAAGCAAGATCTTTATGCTTAAATAAATAACAAATTAATAACAATTGTGCAATCTATTTCAAATGTTTTCGACCATAATTGGATCGTTTTCAATGTAAATACAGACAATTATAACATATTATTTATAAGATATACGTTTGGTACTTTTAATTTGGATATATCTTCAAAATTTTTTTTGTTTTCTCTCATTCGTTTCTTATCGAAGCAATTTTCAGAAATAATACAACTTTCTTTATCAGGTTCGAACTCCCATCGTGGATGCCATTACTTTGCATCGGGATCCACGTGGGCGCTTCCATGATCGGCTTCCTCACATTACCGTGGGTGATGACCTCGGAATTGTACCCGTTGAGATTCAGAGGCAGTCTTGGAGGTGTCACAACCAGCATCGTGCAGATATTGACGTTCGCGACGATCAAAACGTATCCGGATTTGAACGCTATCGTCGGTCTGGAGTTCACTATGTGGATATTCGGCTCGGCCAGCGTGCTGGGCGCGATCTTCGCCCTAACGATACTGCCGGAGACGCGGGGACGCAGCCTCGACGATATCGAGATGGAGTTCTCCAACAAGTCGAATGACGACAGTTCGATATACGCCGGCAAGATCTTCTCCACTGCGTGGTCCCAACCGAAGAACATCACCCTCCAGCGATTCACGTCGATCTCGGAAGAGAAGCAATCGAATATCGCGTCGAACGCGTATGTCTATGACAATTTCTGCCTGGAACTGTCCCCGGAGAAACTGGAGAAAGATATCGAAGTCTCCGAGAAGAAATTGACTCGCGATCAACGAACTGTAATCGGCATCGCGCTTGAACACGTGCACGTTTGATGCGAGAGAAATCCAGAAGAACTTTTATTAGAACTAATTCCTATATGTAATTTTATATATTATGTCTAGGATAGTTAAATTATGTCTAGGATAGTTATTTATTTATTTTATACAATTGATAAGCTGAGAGTTGATTCATTAGTCAGTCATTAGTATAAATGCCATTTTATCTATTGTTACCAAATGTTCCTTCAGTATTACGAACATTCCTACAAGCGTAGTTCCGAAGATTAAAATTACGTAACGTTTTTATAATTATGCACAATTGTATATACATGTATAAATGTATATACTTGAAGATTTTATATAAATAACTTTATGTAATTTTGCAAACAGACATTTTCACTCTATTTGTATAATTTTCAGCGCTCTTTTTATTTTTAATAATGCAATTTTTTTGTACAGATCAAAAATGTGTGTACATCTTTTGTTTGCCAAGTAATAAATATTAATTAAATAAATTTTAATATATAGTTTAATATTAAAAAGTATATATACGAGGGCTGTTCGATAAGTCCGTGCAAAAATAAAGATTTAATTTTATTTAGGAAAAATATTTTTTATTTTTCAACATAATCTCAGCGATGCTCAAATTTTTTGATCCCCCATATAATATGATTTATCCAAGTCTTCAAAATAAGCAGTTGTTTCGGCGATGATTTCATCATTTGATGAAAATTTCTTTGCCGCAAGCCTTCTTCATAATAGTCCGATTTTTATAATTGTTTTAAAGCGATCTCATCATTCCGTTTTATCCAAATTGTCTTTACTTACAAATGGCACGTAATAAAAATTAACATTTTATTATTTCTCACTTTTGCCGTCACGATTCAATATGGCTGTGGTGACTACTCAGGAGCCTTAAATAAAATTACAGAATTTTTAATGAAATTTTATTGATATAAATTAAAGATTCGATATTCTGAAAATAAAGCGAGTATAGTACTGAGCATCTACAGCATCTGTGTAAGTAAACTTTATATAATCCGACAGATCTCGGATTCAATTATAACAATTTTCCTCCCATGTACACTTAAAATTTAAAGGTTGATTAGAGAACTGTGAGTGAAAGGAATGTGAGAAGTGAATTCATTTCAGGGATAAAGACTTTGAATACAATACTGAGCAACAATGTGTGAAAATAAAACGTAATGATGTATATTGATTACAAATGTCGTGATACAGATACATATTGGTGGAACCCCTTAAAATATAATATCCATGTAATACGGCATTACGAGAGCGATATAATAAGTCAGTGATTTTTTTAAACTTTCTTTTTACTAAAATTTGACTTATTTTTCAACATAGTCTCCTTTTAAAAAATCAATGACTTATTAAACTGCCCACGTATGTTCTGCGAAATTGTATGAGAGAAAGGGGTATAGAAAAAATAATTTTCTCGATTATTATATGTACATATTACAGTGATGTGGAGTTTCACGCGTCTGATAATAACGCACGACGTGTCCAGTTTTTCTTCCCGTATTTCTGTTTTTATAAAACAGTCACAAGTACAAAATCATGTACAAATTGGAGATCGTGATTTCTCAGTATCAACAATTTCATTTTAACCACGTAATTATCACGCGCAAGCAATGATTCGAATTTATATATACAGTAAAACTACGTCTTCTTATCGATGAATTACATAATTTTCTATATAATATCGATCACATTTAGCATTTAAGATCGTCAGTATGTATATACCGTCGCTTAAAAGTCATATTTACAATCTATTAAATGCAAAAATTGTGGGGAATTTTAAGTACAAAAATAATGAGACAATTACCGCGATGAATATTCTCCTTGATACTGATTGATGTTACGTAGGATACTTATATGGCGTTTGACGATTACAAATTAAGCGATTTTATTATATTTTATTACATTTTTTAATATAGATTACATCTCATACTAAAAAATGAAATAAAAATCTTAAATTATATGCCAATATCATGATTTTCAAGAAAATGCAGTCACGATGTACGTAGATTACTACGATGATCAAAATGTTAACGGAGAGCATAAAAAGCATGTGAAACATTTAAAAATAAAGGCCGTATTCAGAACGCGCTTACAACGATGTTAGCGCGCTAACATACTATACTTTACGTCACGCATATTATAGAATTTTAGAGATAAAAGCGCGTTTTTATCGATAAAAACGCGTTCTGAATACGGGCCAAAATGTTCCGACATAATCCGATTCAATTCCTCGATCGGCCGTTACATATTTTACATTTACAAACTATACTTTCTCAATCGACATACAATTACAGTCAGGCAGTTTGCGCTTTACTACAAATCTTTAAGAAAATAGCTAAATATTCGATTCTCTTCTTCGTCTCACCGTTCTGTTGTACAGAGTCGTCCTCGGGAGAGGGTTAATTCCGGTTCCCTTCGATATATTTACAACGCTAGGACATTGATAATTAAACATTCATACTTTCGGCATTTTTCCTTTATACATCAATCATACCCTTTCTCGTATGACAAACCAAATCGCCAAATTTCCGCGAACGTTCGACCTGAATTTCGAGTTAAAAGCGTGGGGAAAAAAGTACATAAAATAATCCGAAAGAAAATCTTTTCATGTAAACACAGATAAAATACGAGTGGCATTAACGCAGAGAACATGCATTAAAATTTTCAGTTGAGACTACTGCTGAGAATGGAAGACGTCCGGCTAATGTGAAACGATCTAGTTCAGTAAATGCAATCAATTGAGCATTGTCTACATTATATTTTTTAACAATATTTGCACTGATATCTAGTTCCCTATCATAACAAACGAATTGCGCCTTTCTTTATTGCTACATTTACTCAACTACAAAACTGATGATACGCCACTGTTTCACATTGTTAGATCTATAATTGCAATCGAGACTTATTTAACGCAACTATTATTATTATTTGTATTCGCGATTATTATTATTATTATTCTTTGTGGTCCATATTTGAGACTCGCGATCGTGAGAGAATCTTATTATTACTCGTTACATTAATCAACGCGATTAAAAAAATTATGCAAACATACCGCTCGAAATATAGGAGTTATATATATATGTGTATATATATATATATATATACACGTGTGTGTTAATTATATTAGATGTTGTAGGCTACAAGAGATGAAAACTGCACAAATGTGTGCGACAAAGCTACATCTCGTTCTCAGTTATGTAGAAGAGAGATACATATCTATATGTAAGATATTTAAGAGAGAAAAATAGATATCATGTAATCCTGATATTTTGCTCGAGTTAAAAGTAAATTAATTTCAATACGTGGAATAATGTTCTAGAGGAAGATAATTGAGTGCTAATGGCAAAATTTTGTACTCTCTCTAATGAAAAAGATACGCCCTACGGTAATATCTCATTGTCAGATGAACCCGTCTTAGAATACTCTAGTTACATAAATAGTCAAGGAAAATTATTGACATTAGTGCACATGAATGAAAAATGCCATCAAGGCGGTTCTTCGTGCTTAATAATATTTCTTGTGTATTTATACAATTTCCAGTTCAAGCAAACTGTGCGTCGATTATTCATCGGTCTTGAAACACAGTCTTAAACCGAAGCTAAAGTAATAATATCACAAATTAAATTGACAAGCAATTTAATATTATTAATGCAATTCGGCATCTTAAAAAGCTATTAATAATTGATGCTAATAAGTATTTTGAAAACACTGTAAATAATTTATTGCGAAAAATATTACTTCAGCCGGGATTCAAATCCGGATCTCCCGAATTTCATGCGGGCGTCCTCCCAAGCTTTAGTGCATTAATCATTCTATCGATCATTAATCATACGGACATTGCATAATGCGATCGATATTGGATGATATACGCACATAATATCCCTGAAATATCATCGTACATTCTTTCTAATTGACAGATTTTAAAATAAAATTATAACACTGGATTTTTATAAGACAATATTATACTTCACGAATGCCTAATTCCACAAACAGAAAGTTGACTTTGAATACTCTGTACAACTCGATCATTTCCTAAGTATGCCTAAGTTTATCGACTATTATATATAAGTAACTGGTTAACATACATACATCCATACCCCTCTTGGCAGTCGATTAGCTGCTCTATCGAGTTTCTCGATAGCACAGACACCAGTATTGTCATGATTTACGCTAGCCACCATGGGAGATCCGCCTATACGGCAACCTCACCCGGCACGTCGAAGCTAAATTATGCTAGAACGGAAAAGAGCCAGCAGCTCATCAAGATCAGTCTAGCGGCGTCGATGTAGCCGCGTCTCGAGCCGACGTTCATTCTCGCTCGGAATATTTGGCGATCCGAGCGTGCAGACACTCGTTGTCAGTAAAACTCCGAGTCAGAGCTGTGTTGCGAGTCCACGCCGTTCAGATATACCTCCAACGTATGTTGAATAGCCGGCGAGTATTGCGTGGTTTCCCCGTTTTGACCTGGTAGAAATAGCGCGGTCTTATATATTGTATGCATACATGAATATATATTTTTTTTACAATATGTATAATAGATAAAATGAAATATTACCCTGTGCGGAGAGGATAGTCGCTAAACACTTGGCCACTGCCGGATTTGGAGCACAGGCTAATGCGGGCGTGAGTCCATCAGCATCGACAGCTATGACACTTGCACCCAATTGCAATAATCGTCGCGTAATCTAAACAAAATATATTTCTCAGAAAATGTCAGCTGTTACATTTCTAGTATCGTCGACACAATTTCTGCTTACCGTCACGAGACCATTTCTCGCTGCCAGATGCAATGGCGTTCTTTGCTGCTTGTTGATCATGTTAATAACAGAAACGCGCTGCAATTGTGTCGTGTTCTTGTCGGTATCGGAGCTGCCGAGTGACTCAATCCAATTTAGAAGCAATGACGCTGCAGCGGAATGACGTCTCTGGCACGCTAAGTGCAGTGCGGTATTCTTATTGGAGTCAACAGCGCGCACGTCAGCTTTCCATTCGAGCAACAATTCTACGAGATGCATCTTATTAATACGAGATTATCTCGAAAATAACGTAAAAGTATAACTTTGTTATAGGCATAGAGCGATTAAATTACCGATAGCGTTGCACTGCCCATTGACAGCTGCGCAAAGAAGTGGCGTCCGACCGAAATAGTCAGTCGTCTCGAGACCGGCTAGTTCCGGCCCGACGGAGTTCAGAATTAATCTCGCGCACTCAACGGATCCTGCGCTCGCCGCGATATGCAGGGGTAATAAACCACACGATGAATCCCTTGGAGCAGCAACCGCTTGCCCGCCAAATTTGTTAATCAACAAATCTAGACAGTGCGCAGATCCCTGATATACAGCGCAATGTACGGCAGAAAACGGATTACCTGTAAATAATAAAAAAAAGTTAGCTTGATATATCATGTTGAATATTCATCTTTAAAGGACAAAAAGCTACATGCCTTCCAAGGAATCAAAGACGTTATGATTCAAAAGATATTCCACACAATTCGAATTGCCATTGTAACAAGCCCAGTGGAGCACCGTGCAGCCTTGATCGTCCTTCAAAGCCGCCGCGGTCAAATCGGCTTTAACGAGTGCAGCCAAAGCGTATAATCTACAAACGAACTCGAGATGTAGAACAGTTCTATGCGGTGAAAAATTTCGTATAAACGTAACTTCTTACCTGCCGCAAGCCGCTGCTAAATGTAACGGAGTTTTACCGTTCACATCTTGCACAGCTACTTGGGCGCCATGCTTCAATAACAGTTTCACTAGCTGATTATCACGTTCGTTGATCACAGCGCGAAATAGTGGCGTGTGCTTATTGACATCCGGCAAATTGCAGTCGGCCTTATACGTCAACAATAACATCGCACACTCCGGAAAGTTGTTCGCTACCGCCAGCGTTAAAGCAGTGCGTTGTTTGGAGTCGTAACAATTTACAACGTTGGGATCATCCATGTTCTGCAGAAGAAGAGCCAAGCAATCCGCATGACCTGTGGCAGCGGCACAATGCACAGGCGTGCGTTTCGTAACGGAGTCCTGGAAACATAATGACACTAGTGTTACGCGTGTGAATGTACGCTTACCAAGTGAAGAATCCAGGTTCTTCTCACCTGCACTGCCACAGAAGCGCCAAATCGCAACAAGAATATGATGCACTGTTTATGCCCCTTGTAGGCAGCCAAATCTAACGGTGTCTTTCCGCTGTCTTCCTTGATATTCGTATTAGGGAACAAGGGCAGAAGCAGCTGCAAGATCTCGTCGTGACCGTGATACGCCTGTTAACCCTTACAGGGACAGTGGGACAAATATGTCCCACCTTTTTCTCCTTAATCTTTTTAATGTTTTTTTTATACTTAACTATTAATATGCACATATTGATATAATTTATACTTATAACAGAAACTTAAACTAAGAAAAAAAACTATCATTTTTTATGATATTTTAATTAATTAAGCAATATCCTTTTAGATATAAACAAATTAAAATGAAAAAGTGCAATTTTTTCCGAATTGAGCTGCACATAAACTAATAAAGTTAAAATTTATTTTAGATTAAGGTTAATACAAATTTTGAGAATTACAAATACTGCTTTGTATATCATTGATACCGAATTTTGATTTAAATTTGCGTATCTTTTGCGTTTACGTACCGCGAGATGTATTGGAGTGAGTGCCGGTAGGGATGGCTCCTGACCAGTCGAGGAGTTAAGCGAAGCGGTCAAATTCGAAGGCGACGACGACGCATTCAGAAGCGCTTCTAGTGCCGCTTTGTTGCCACCCGCTACCGCGTAATGGATCGCAGTAAAACCGCGTTTGTCGCGTAAACGTGGATCTGCCCGATGCTGCAGTAAGTACTGCACGCACTTGAAAGATCTGCATAAAATTAAAATAAATCATATAGACAAATAAATTTGAGAAATTAATTCGCTAGAGGGAAAACGATACTGACTGAGCATTAGAATTCGATGCCGCTGCAGCCAAGTGTAATGGCGTTGCGCCATTTACGTCTTGAGCGTTCGAATCGCTACCGAACCCAACCAGAGTAAAGACACAAGGGTAATGTCCTTGACATGCAGCATGATGAAGAGCCAATCGATTGTCGTTGTCGACAAGACGGAAATTAGCACCGCTAGACAACAGCAGATCCAAGCAATCTACAGAACCCTGTTTAAAATAAATCTAATATATTCTTTCTCTTGTCACACATTGATTTATGCTATTAAATTAAAAAAATATTAATGTTATATTAATAAAAGATTAAAAGTGATGCACTACCTTAAATGCTGCCAAATGTAAAGCTGTCCTGCCACCGATATCTCGCGCGTCAATTCGCCTACTATCGAGTTGCAATAATTTTCTACAGACCTACGATAAAACCAAATCAGACATTAAATCCTCATAATATAAATCAAATGTAGGCTGCTTTCCTTTTAAGAGATAATATATAATACAAGTGTCATTGTATCTTTATTATCGAATGCAAAGAAATAGAATGACGTTTATATTAACTGTCTCCCAAAAGGAAAGCAGCTGTAGTATAGATATCGAAAAAATATGTAGCTCACTTCTATATGTCCCGCTAGGCAACTCAGATGCAACGGTGTACGTTGCTGTGCGTTGCGTGTAGCTGGGGATGCAGCGCTTTCCAATAGAGATGTCGTCAGACACTCGAAGCCAAACCTGTAATTTGAAGTTCTTATAATCTCGTTCAAATCACAAAGTACTACGTCCACAAGAACAGGTGACTTACCAGGCGGCAATATGCAATGCTGTATTTCCATTCTTATCTCTTGCATCTGGAAAAGCTCCTGCATCTAGCAATGTTTTGGATCTTGTAAATCTTCCGTGGATCGCAGTCATGTGCAAAGGTGTACGACCGTCTTCCGACTGAACGTTGACCTTTAATCCATTGTAGATCAGCATCTTGAAACAGTGAACACCATGTACGCTGGCAGCAGCAACATGCAACGCGGTCTGCCCTCGATAATTTACGGCCTCTGTTGTGAACGATAAATACAACGTTTATTCAAATGTCATGAATCGAAGTATTCAAAATCTTAATAATGACCCACCTAAATTAACGCGATTAGCTATAAGCTCCTTGATCACGAGCGGACATCCGTTCAAACATGCGATATGCAATGGTGTATTTCCGTACACGTTCTTGGCCTCGATATCACCGCCTGCTTTGATTAAAATGTGCACACATTCTACATTACCAGAAGCAGCTGCTGCATGTAACGGAGTATATAAATCTCGATCCTAAACATAGAAATACATACAATATTTACACCTAGGATAACAAAAGTTTTAAAACAAGTTTTATAACAAATTAGTACTTTAACATCGACTTCAACGCCTTTGGCTATTAGCGCTTTCACAATTTCGTTGTGACCTTTGTACGCCGCGAAATGCAAAGCCCTTCGGTCTTTCTTGTCGGAGGCGTTTATCGCGCAACAAAATTGCATTAAATATTCGCACATTTCAAGATGTCCGTTATACACCGCATGATGAAGACATGTTTTTCCGCCTCTGCAGAAATTAAAAATTTAACAATAATCTATATGTATGTAATGCTTATGAATAATTTACTATAAATCTGTAATTTTTAATTGTGTAATCATCGTGAGATAACTACAATAATGATACAATCAAAAGTATGCACCTGTCTGAAACATTGATATTTAATAAATGTGGCATTAAAAGTTCTATGCATTGCACAGCGTTATTTGCAGCTGCTACATGAAGAGGTGTCTGCCAACTACGATCTCGAGCATTTACGTCTGCTTTGTATCTTAATAAAACATCCACTACATTGTAATTTCCCGAGCAACAGGCTCGATGCAAGGGAGTCAACCATTTCTTATCTTTACTGTTGACTGCTGCACCGTTTAATAAGAGAAGTTCTACAATAGCGGTGTCTCCCCTGAAACACGAATACCATTTTAACTATATAATAATTAAAATAACTTCTAATCCGCTCGTTTTCTACCAATATACATTAACTTTAATCTTGGTTTAATTTACTTTTTATGTTCTTTTAGTTCTAAGAATTAGAAACAGATAAAGAGTAAACTGCCTTGACTTGATCTATATTATAATAGGCCTTTTCTAATAATAGATTAATTGTAATCTTGATTTAACTTACTCATTTTTTTCTAGTTTTAAAATTAGAAAAAAATGAGAAGTTGAAAAGATTAAAGTTAATCTATATTGGTAGAAATAAATACTATTGAGCTTCCAACATTTTTATTAACTGAGCTATTAACCTATATGCTGCCGCATGTAAAAGAGAACGCTGCTCCTTGTCTTGCCAATTAACATCCTCTTTTTGCGATAGCAACGTACGAACTGCCTCCACATTTCCATGAAATATAGCTTGTAACAAAGGAGGCTGTAAAAATAAACAATTACAAGTTCATTTTTCTTTATCTCATCTAGATTAAAGAAGAGATCTTTGTGAAATATCAAACAATGTAGATGTAATCCAAACTTCATTAGAAACACTTGTAGATTATAAAAAAAACACAATAATAGTTGTACATAATCAAAATACAAGTAAAACCATTATGAGCCTTCATACAGCCTCCAAAACAAAGGAACTTGATTTAAAAAAATTCTCAAGACAAAATATACATACAATGGACAATGTGCATTCAGGCTTTGCAGGGAGGATAGAATTTATAGAAGCGTACCAGAAACATCCACGTCAGACTAAAATACAAATCAGACACGGAAGAGCTAACCTACGCTTCCTAGATAAATGTGCTAGCTTAGGAGAGGCCGAACGAGAGGACGCAACGTACCTCCTCGTGGAGATCTTTGAAAGTATTCATGTTGACCAGTGTGGTCCAAGGGTTCTCCGTGTCTACGTTGTCGTTCTTCCTCATAGAAGCATCGTCATCCGATCGTAAGCGAGTGAGTCATCAGATCTACGGGCACGAGATCCTCTCAGCTGCCGCTGCCGCCGCCGACTGGACGAGCGGTCAGGTCAAGTCCGGGTGCGCGTGTCACGCGTCTGGTACGCGTCTCGTTCACGGATAGATCGTTTCAACAACGAGCGATGCAGCGTCGGGCTCGTCGCGTCCTATCGTTGTGTATGTTCACGCGCACGTGGCCGCTTCGTCCGACGCGCTCCTCGCTTTTGCCGCCATCTTCGACATTGTTGTGCGCGAGCTTGTAAACAACGGCGTTGGATGCGGCCTCTGGAGATCGTGAGGTTACGGCGGAGAAAGGGAGGTTTCTCTCGATGGGAAACGAAAAATGGAAACCGGAATACAAAGGAATTGTATGAAAGAATAGACGAGAAAAAAACGTGAGAAAAAAGTGGAGCACGCACGATCGCGATATTTCATTGCGTTTACCTGAAACTGTAATTGATTTGTATTTTTCATAAATATAATAGTTTAGTTTCAAAGAAAATAATTGTAATATGTAAATTTAGATTTGGTAATTTAACTCGAAATAATAATTGAGACGAAAAAATTACGTTTCGATACATGGTGATATTTTATCGCAGGTTTCCGTCAATCGGATTCAATCGTCTTTTGTCTCACAATTGATTCCGCGGTTCATGTGATCAGCGCCACTGGAGATGCCGCCAAAATGCACAAAAGTTGTCTGCTAGTTGAAGCGTGGACACGTTCTCTCTCTTTGGAGTTTTCATCAGGATCTTAAATGCAATTTTTGCATGGTAGAAATACATATTTCCATCATGATTTTTGTCTAAACAGTTTCACGACGAGCGCGAAAAGCGAGACGTGTTTCGTTTCGGCTTGGATATCCCTTTTATTGGCCCGAGCTTTTTTTTCGTGCTTACTATCAGTATTTGTTACCTGCATTTTGGATTTTTTTGTTGGCTCATACAACTAATTTATCGCCAGATCGTAGCCGAGGTGCCAATTAAAAGAGAGAGAGAGAGAGAGAGAGAGAGAGAGCAATTTTTGTCTCAGCGATTGAGACGCGAATCTTACAACTATTATCGCAAATACAGAGAAGTATGTAAACAATTTATTACTTATAATAACTACGTTCAGCAGAACGTTTATTTTGCAACTGTTGGAAGTTTTCTTCACGCTGATTGAATTATGCTTTTAGATCTAGAAAAATGGTCCTATCTCAGCAATCATAAAACTTCAAAACTATTGTTTGTGTTCTGCTGAACACAGAATATATTGTTGTAATGTTACTTCAATTTTATAATATACTGATAAATAATTTAGCACGACTATTACAGATGGATCTCGATGCTACTTTCGACTGCAGTGGCAAAGTGAACGTCAATGACTGGCAGCTAAGCAGGAGTGGGCTGTTTTACCGCAAGGAGGTGGACAATGCGCTTTTTTCGCAAATCGACTGTTCCTTTTCACACATGCAAGTCAGGCTCTTTGACTGCGTCATGCCTGGAGCAATTGCCGTGATGGATCTTAAACATCTTATTAATTGCATGGAGTAAGAACGTTTCTTGAGAACAAAATCTCCTTTATTATCATATTTTGAAGGCTACTGAACGAATATCATTTATAATCTTACATTTATTTTTCTATTGCAGGATGCAACTCAAAATACTAAACAGACAGGAGAGGCCAGTCACGATATCTGGATCATGCAATAATGATAATGTGAATTACTTTTCTCTAAGAAAGATGATTTGCGAATTTATTGTATATTTCCGTATGTACATGAACAGGTAAATGCAATGTTTTCTTATCTCTGCGATGTTTTTATTTTGCAATAATTGATTCGTCTTATATTCTAACATTGTAGCATAAAATGGGATCTTAATGCATTAGAAATAGTAATGCCTGAAATTGGTAAAGACGTGGATACTCTATTTGATTGCCTTAAACACTTTCTCAGTACTTTACGTAGCATCCCGGATTCGACTCTGCTTTATGCTGCTTCTAATATAGGGAATAAGGTAACTAAAAAAATTGATTGTCTTCTTGGCCGAGCAAAAACGTTATTTCTGTTTCAGTGTAATCAGTCAGAGTTTCATTTGTACCATATCCATATAGAGTTAAGATGGTTCTTCGTAACGTTGATGCATTCAAGGACTACATGGTTCCAATATCACACGCAGTTTGAGGAGTTTGAAACCACTGCTGAAATGGTCATCAATGACCTTCTATATTCTACCTTGAAAATATTTGAAAGGGTGAAAATGATTAAAACATTTGACTTGTTTGTATAATAATATAAACGTGGTATTTTATATTTCTGTTTTTGTATTACAGTTAGCCTTAAACTGGACTATAGATCTCACGCAGAAAACGCCATACTGCTGCACATGCACGCGAGAATTATGGCTCATGTTTCAAATATTTGTCGACAGTTTAGGAGAAAGGAAGAAAACTAAGGTATTAATAATAATAACCAAGTAATAATTTCGTAGATATATATTTTTATCCAATTTTAGACGTTTTGGGATGTTGTAAATAGTTGTATCGATAGAGTACTAAGTAAGAATCAGCCCCAAGCAATATTCTGGCACAGAAGCGTGGACTCCTCTCTGCCAGCTTGTAAGAATCCGGAATTGTTTTGCATCTGGATAATATATCATCTGTCTCTGTTGTATGGATACAGTAATGATGGCATATATCTGCAATCTAATTCTCCAAGGGTAATTACGATATAAATTAAATTAAACTTTATAGATCGTGTAATAGATATATATTTTCATTTACAGATTAAATCTAACTGCGAACAAGTTGAAAAGGTTCTAAAAGCATACGTATGTAAAGGCGGAAAAGATGGTGAAAGAGATGAGCTTGATGTGGAGCTTAAGATCATAATACCATTATTACTTGATCTTATTATTAATTGGTGGCAACCGCGAGTGCCAATTATATCTTTTCTTTGGGACTGTTTCCACAAAAGATTAGATCAACCATTCCTACTACAAACTTCTGGGCCTTGGGCCCTGTCTCTTGAAAAGTATGTTCAAGTAGTTATATATAAATTTATGATTGTAGTTATATATTCAAAAATAAATGAATAAAGTTTGAATATTTTTTTAGGAAAACAGCTACGGGTATTTTGAAGCACATTAATGATAGGATTTATGGAAAGTTTGAACATTCCAAGGAATCCAGCTATGGCATGTTCTTACATTTAATAGGTGAGTAGGTGGAAAATTTTCTGAGTATTGATTGTATCATAAAAATTAATCTTTTAGGTACCTTTTTGAAAAAATATGGCACTTCAGACCCGAAATACTGGAATCAAATTAAGGGGCGTGTATATACGAAATTTTCAAAAAATAAAGTCGCAGAATTCTCCGAGAGTGGCCTCTACAATTTCATATCTTTATTTATTACTTTAGCTATTACTGCAGATACAAACGTTGTGAGTTAAAAAAATATACGATTGCTAAATTCTTCATTAACGATGTCTATTAATATATGTTTTTACAGTGTGTAACAATGTTAGATCTCCTTCCATTTACGCATGAATTGAATAACGATTATAATAAAAAATGCAATCTAATCTGGAAAGGAAAACTAACGTGTCTCTTGCTGTTCAATGAAAGAAAATTATCTCTTGGTTCCATAGCTGGACATTTTACAGAAACAGTATGCTCCATTTCTCATGTGAATTATGCAAATGTAAATCATACATTTTTTGTAAATCCTGATTCTTTTTACAGATTAACTTGATAAGTTGTCGCAAGGATGAAACATCTCGTTCCATGATGATCAATTTCGTAGATGTATTGAACACGATTTTGGCTGGCAATGAGAAAATGGATCTAGGAGAGTTTAATTTTATCGGTGGTTGGATCGATCGTTATCTTTTGGAGTGCCAAAAGAACAGAATTGGATCTTTATTAGAAATGATCGCGAATGTTTTCGAAAAATGTATCGTCTTGCAAGTTTCATGTAACAATTCGGGTTGGTATGTCTTTGTCTTCATTTCAAATATATTAATATTGTGATTTCGGATGATATATTTTTTCAAGTTTGTACGACGAAAAAAAGTACTTGCTAAAATATGCTTGTAGATGGTGCTAGAAAAATGTTAGACGCACTGTGGTGTTTCGTTGCATCCAGAGTTCGCCAACTCGTCTTCGATCCCGTACTCACTGGTGACAATTACAAAATTATTTCCAAACTAGCTGTCATATTCACTTTAGAGGCAGTCAGAGAACCAACTATTGCTAAGAAGTATAAACACTCGGCTGTATCTTTATTTCAACATTTTGCAGCATCGATATTTGTGAAAGATATAAGGTAAAAATGTTTTATCTGAAAATCAATATCTATTGAAAATAGTATAATAATAAACTATCTCGTCTTCAGAATTACCCAGTATTATTTAACGTCTATTCTCGAGAATGAAGAAGCTGTTCAAAACTTGAAAAAGGAAATTCCGAATTTCGATACTATACTTATCCAAGTTTGTACATACCAATTTGTTTTGTTATTATACGTTGTAAAGCGATTAGAAGAGAGTTAATAAAATATGTTTTAGGCTTGGATAAAATGTTCCATTGTTGGTTACAATGTAAACAAGGAAGATATAAAGATTCTGCAAAATTACATTATCAATCTTAATGAAATCAAAGAGATATTCGTGTCAGATTATGATACGTACGAATTTAAGAACAGTAACGAACCTATTTTGACATTTATAATATCGTTCATGAAAAAACTAAATACTTTAAAGGTATTAATTTTATGAATTCAGCATGCTCATCCAATCCAGAAACAAATTAATATAACTGCAAAATTTTACAGTCTGAGCAAGAAAAGCATCAGTACAACGCGAAATGTAAGATATATTTCAAGAATTTAGAGAAGTGGGTCATGATACCTATAACGGAGGAAACAAAAGATTCGGAACTTGCATTTTGGATTTATAGATGTCTTGGTACTCTGATTCTCTGTATTTCTCCAATGCTATATACTAAAGTAAATATTCTAAAGTATGTGTAACTTAATGATCGTTGCTTTTTATATTCTAAAAGAAATGTTGCTTTCACAGAATCAACCAAACGATATGTTAAGAACACTCATCAATAAAATTATATTGGTACCAGAGAATTCTACGCAGTCGTATATAAAGCAATTAGGAAAGAAGATATTCTCAATGGTAATGCTCGGACTGGAGAAATTGAATGTCAAAAGCGATATATTATTGCAAGCGATGATTCGAGATATCTTCGATCAATACTTGCCGATTCTGATAGTTGAAGTCAACAGCGGTTGCAATTTTAAGGTGTCTGATACGTTGCTGAAATGCTTTAAGGATGTAAAGAACGAATTTCTACGTATGATTTTCGAAATGTTGATGTCAAACTTTTATAATATATCGTCCGACAACGTCTTGCACAAACACTCCAACTTGGTATGCAATCATGTAATTAGTTGTTCAGTGTCACAGTGTGTTGCAAATATATTTATTACACATTCACACAGATAACTTGGCTTATAAAAACATTGGTTAAAGAAGGAAGAAAGTATCCCAAATATATTACGGAACATATTATCCAAATTTGTTCTCCGAGCATCTTTGGGTGTTACATGAAGATTCATGATCACCATCCACACAAGCTGCACACAATTGACTTTATCAATGATATAATAAAAAATCCTTATTACCAGGAAGATAAATTTATCAGGTGAACAAATATCAATATATATTACATCTAAAATTAAAATATATATAATATATAATTTATAATCAATCCTTGGCTTTTCAGGGAAAAATTCCAAACTGCTATTTCTGCTGCAGTGCAAAAATATTTGATGACAAATACGCAATTTACATTTGAATTCATACGATCTGTCTTATCGATAAAGAAAAATATTATAATCAATATATTTCCGCAAATTGAAGCTATTATACTTTATGCTGAGCAATATAATCGACCCAATGCAGCATCCTTGAGGTAAGAATAATCATAAATCTTTAAATTATAAATAATTTTTATGTTTATATAACATGATGTTAGATTAAAATTTATAATTTCAGATTCATGTCGAATCAACTGAAAAAGCATATGTTGAATATGGATAATAATTCGTGACAGGATCATAAAAATATATTAATAATTTAATAAGCGCCAAGTATTCTAAATAATATTCAATTTAGATTCTTTAGACTTTCTGATTAATCATCGGGTATTAATTAACAAGAGTTTGATCTCAATGCACATGTAACTATTTCAATGTACATAAATGCATAAATTAGATTAAGTTTATATATCAAGTTAAAATATGTAGTATAAGTTGATGAAATTATTATATTTATAACTCAATTTTGATTAAAATAAGTATATAAAGTGTAAATTATTGTCTCGTGTACTGAAGATATCATAAATAATAATTAGATACGATACACACGTAAACTCACTCATAAATAACTGGCAATCGTCGGTCTTATTTAAGGTAATAACATCGAATTTTTTTACAAACCGCTAAAAACAACACCTAAATTTGCCTCGCTACTTTCGATGTGAATGCCTCGAACGATGATGTTTCAACGACGCACTGGTTGTATTGCCCTCAGGCGATCGTCATCCAACTAATTCAAGACGAGACACAGCACTACGTACGGCGTTACGTAGACTTTGCTCGGCGTTACCACTTAATAGAGACTCCAACCTCTCGAAATAACTGTCAATATTATGTAACGTAGCACCGTCGTGTGTGCCTATAAAAAATTAAATATTTATACAAATAAAATGTCGATCTGATACGGGATCAGTGATAGAATTTTTTATGGAAACTCGCCTGGAAGCGGTATAGTGGCGAAGCAGCCTGCTAGCTGAGAACGAAGAGAATCCAAATGACGCTGCAGAGCTTGATTAGTCGTTCGTTGTTGAGTAGTTTCGGACTCCAAGCGACTCACGGCTGCATGCAGACTGTCTACGTGTCGTTGCAGAACCGCATTTTGAGCTTCGTAGTCAGACGTAGCTTTCCGTAATTGTCTTAATTCAGCCTCACAAGCTACGCAGATATTTTCATTATTTTAAAATTTGTTCTTTTTATTATATTTTACTGATTGGTCGTAATTCCTGTAACTTCTTTACCTTTGTTATGATCTAGGAATTCTTCTGTAAAAATAGGGATGTCGAAGCCTTCTGCTGAACGTCCTAAATTAAAAGTTTCCATTAACGTTAAGATCGATTAGCCACAATCTTAAATATAGCAATATCATCATACATTCTGTTCGGTGTTTACATCCGTGCCGTTTCTTTCCTTCTTATTTTCATTTTGTCTCTCTGATTGTTTTTCGTTAAACAGCCGGTATGCTTCTGTTTGCTTATAATCACTAAATTCGCGATTGTAGCGTTCTTTGTCTTGTTCAGCTGCATCCAAATAATGCTGAAAGTATTTATCATTTCATTAATATTACAGAGAGATACAAATAGAGGATACGGTAAGAAAGCAACAAACCTGTTTCTGATCAACTGGCAATTTACTCCATTCTGCAGCCAGAAGTTTCGTAATTTCTGTGAATGTCAAGCTTGGATTCTGATGTCGAACTTTCTCTCTCCGATCGTTTAAAAACCTGCACACACGTTATATTTCATTATAGACGGAATATTTTAACTTATATTAAAGTATTTGTATGTTCGATCATTACAGAAAGTAACCACTCAGAGGTTGTCTTGGCGCAGTAGCGTCTCTCGGGGCTTTTTTACGTTTCTTCGTTCTATTTGTGTTGCCAGTGGTGGTGGCACCCCTCTTTACGCCATTGTCACACACTGAATCTGGTGCTTTCTCTTCTGTACTTACTGGAGATTTGACTAATGAAACACACACAGAAAAGATCAGCAATTAATTTATCAATAATATCTGTATTATTTTAATGTAAATAGAATTTTTTCTTTAATGCACAGAAAGATTAGATGAATGATTTAATAAATTATGTATGAATTCTAAAGGACTATGCCCAGTTTGGGCCCTGGCTGAACAGCATTGAGACCTACTAGAATTGTAGAGCATCAAAAAAGGATTAAAAAGTTCTATATGCTCAACTTTGTAAAATGAGTTCCTTGAGTGCTACAGCTGTTCAAAGTTCGCTATTATGGCCACGTATTATGTACCATGTAGGACTGGTTTTATTCGATGTCTCGAATCATCTAGTATTTGGAATATGTCCAATCTTGACGAAAACAACTAAAATCTTTTTTGGACCCCAAATGAACAGTTACAAGTGATATATATTAATCGATGAAGAAGAGAGAGGGACACTCAAAGTATGAAACAAAAGTTTTAATTGCTTAATTGAAATGTGGCCAATATATGTTCTAAGAGCACTCAGGAAACCTCTCCTATAAAGTTAAGCTTATGGAATTTTTGATTCTCTTTTGATACCTTAAAATTTTAGACATGTCTCAAAGTTGTTCATCCGGTATTCAAATTCTCCTATAAAACTGGGTATAGTCCTTTTGCTATAAGTTGTTTTGCTACAAGGTAAGTTTCTATCAGTTGAATTATGTTAAACAAAGTCATACTAATGTCTGTTTCTATGTAGATTAATTTTAATCTCAGTTTAACTTGCTCTTCATCTTTTTCTAGTTCTAAGAACTAGAAAAAATAAAGAGTCAGTTGAATCAAGATTACGTTTATTGTACATTGGAAAATAAGCATAAATGTGATAAGTAAACTTACCAGCGTGTTCCTCCGTTTCACCGTTGTAAGCAGGCTGCTCCATCGTACCGTTGCTCTCAGGTACATCATTCATTGGAGTAATCTCACTCATTTTTCGCAATACGTTCCTTCGGTACTGGTCTTGCAACATGAAATTACCCTGGTAATTTCAGACTATATATCCATTATACATTTGCAGCAGGGATCTCTCTTAGCGGGAATCATACTTTTACACTTTCTATAATAGATCAAAATTATTTAGACATGTGTAAAATAAATACTGTTATCCAATACATACTTACCAGTATCTGAAGAATTGAGCAATACGTCAAACAAGCTATTAAGCGGTTGCTTTACGTTGAGTCGTGAAAAATTTGCTTGTCATTCTGCCCGCTGCAAGGTTACTTCGTGGGGACTAATCAAAATTAATGGTAACTTAATTACCGTCGCTGCTTGCGACGAGATTTTACATGGCGCGCTATCACGCTTGTGTTCGTTCGTCGGATTCTTTTTTTCTTTCTTTTCGGATATCGTCCTCGACTGTCCTCGACTTGGTCCGGGTCGACCACAAGAACTCGAGAGTCAATTCGCTCGGCGTCGAAAGGCACCCGCAAGCGCCCGGTGATAACCGCTTCCGGGTGGAACGTCACGCATCTATATATTTGTGCACCGTGCCTGCGCCCCGCGCTGGTTCGCTGGTTGAGTCGTGTGGCATGGCGATGGAGGGGGGGTGAAGGGGACGTTGCTTCGGAGTTACTGCCGGGGTGCCGGGCTGTCTGGATCTGGAGCAGTCTGGAGTTATCAGGTGGATGTTTCTGAGCGAAATCCTTTATTTTTTCATCTCGTAGTATCTTAGACTCGATCGCAGCAGGATGGAGTGCGTTTACCGGTTACCGTTCTTAATCTTGGAAGTGCCTAATTTAAAACTAAAGAGACCGTCCTGGTTCGTGAAGCCTAGTGCTATGATAGTCTTCTCCTTCATACTGCTGTCGTACTTCTTGGTGACAGGAGGTTAGCCGTCAAATTCTCTCGATTTATTTATTATTATTGCATTATAAAAGACATAATTTACACAATAATATTATTTTATATATTTATTATTAATGCTTTATAAAATATTGATGTATATAATTTACCTAGCAGTGATGTGTTGTTTTATATAATTTAATATTCTCTTTCTCTGTCTCCATTATTATTTTATACAATTTAATATAATACATTATAATGCTTCTAATACTGTTTATCATTTATTGTTCACTTTTACACGATTATATTTTATAGGAATTATATACGATGTAATTGTTGAACCACCCAGTGTAGGATCTACGACGGATGAGCATGGTCACACGAGACCTGTAAGATTATTGTTGAAAAAAACTTTATTCTTCAGTGAGTTGTTTCTTTAATGTAAACCAGTATGATTCTTGTAGGTAGCGTTTATGCCCTATCGCGTAAATGGACAGTACATCATGGAAGGTTTAGCCTCCAGTTTCTTGTTCACGATGGGAGGATTAGGCTTCATCATATTAGATCAAACGCACGGTCCATCGACGCCAAAACTTAATAGAGTTCTCTTGATCTGTGTTGGATTCCTTAGCATACTTGTATCATTTACTGCATGCTGGATATTCATGAAGATGAAACTTCCGTAAGATATATTTATGGCTTTTTGAGACAATCTCTGAGCGAATATTATTAGACAAATAATATTTATCTTTTTATTTTTAGTGGGTATCTGCAGTCCTAAGTTATAAGCGATTGTGAATTCTATGAGATATTATGGTGAATTACCATTTTTATATCATATTGTGTGAGATATCGTTACAATATATAGGATATTGTAACAGAGGATTGATGAATTTTGTAATAAAGTATAATATAAGCAAAACTGGATAGCTTTAGTATCATTTGTAACATAAATAAGAGATGTTATATATCATTTTTATATATATATATTATAAATAAAATATAAATGTATAACAATGGAAAAAAAATTTTTTAATAATATTTGTATTTCAATATGAGTATTGTATTTTTAAATACTCATTATAAATATAATTCTGAAAGTTCATAATAAAGATGAATTTTCTGTCTTCTGACTGAGTAATAGATATAAATTGACATAATGACTGTAAGTTGTCAAATTTGTGCATTCATTCAACTTTCATAAGATATAGCTTTCAAAAATGCTTAATAACTGGTCTCAAAAGAAGAGGCTTTTCTCTTCAAAATCTCTTTAAAATTGGAGCGTCATACACGTGTATCAACCACTGTATGTTTGGCAGTTTTATATGGCATATTATACGAGATACATTTTAAGTAAGGGATCTATATGTTTCATAGTTACGTCCGTTCCTTCTATTATAACGTCAAATAAATAAGCTCGATCAAAAATAAAAAAGATCATTATCTGACTTAGGCCAAATTGTAGAGCCTTGGCACATTCTGCAATAGCGTTTTTTTCTCTTTTGAATTAGGCCCAAGTCTGTTATAATTAAATTTCAATTAATATTCAGTCTTTCATTGGCGAATTCGTTAATACGTTTATAAACGAATGCGAAAACTCCTGCAAAAAAATTTTTACATTACTAACGAAATGAGAAAAATTACGATTTTATAATTATGATCCTATGAAGCATCTTACTTAGAAAAGTCGCTGCTCTTCTCTATAATGTGCTCAAATTCAGCAAAGCTGAGCGCACCGTCGTCATCTAAATCAGCCTCATCAAGAATATACTGAAGAAGCTGCTGTATGTCACTGTCATTTAATCTCTGGGGTGCAGTTAATCTGTCGACTACTTGCCGTAAATCTCCTACTCCGAGCATATCATCGCCGTCAAAATCTTCATAAATAAGACTTTGTTATTGAATTGGATATAATTTCAGCAGCATAGATAAATTATCGGCATCTGTATGCTTACCAAATATTCTAAATGCATGCTCAGCCTTCACAGCTTTCGGAGCAGCATCGCTAAACACAGACATCATGTCCAGGAAATCTTCAAAGGTGCAATCACCATCCTGACTGGAGCTAAAGACTTTGCAGATCCTGTCGCCGAAAGGATTTACTCTCAACTCGGGATACTGCAAGATCTTGGACATTGGCAGTTTCGCGTTTTTGTTGTGTCCAACTTTTTCTGGAGCAAGCGCCTTGAATTTCTGATGTGCACTATTAAAGAAAACAAATATTTTACATATAATAATTAACAATCTGATAAATCTTAATAAAATATGTATATACTCAAATAAAAATAAAAATGTCATCACTGATAAAATATATACTCACTATAAGACTTCCTTCTTGGTGAAATATGTTAAATCCTATCAATAAAAGAAAAACACAGTATTATTAAAAAAATCTGTCAAGAGAGCTAAAAATAAAAGCAAAAGTAAGAAAAAAAATAGCCTTACCTGGTAATCTTGCAGCTCTTCTTCCGTAAACTGACTCTTTCCTGCACCCATCTTTGTGAGACAACCATACAACGTGTCAGCAAATACTTTGCAATCGCTTCAATTATCCTTACGAAGAAACTCGGCCATCATTAATCCAATTAATCAACGTTATACACTGCTCAACTAATTTGTGAAACCATATTACTCTTATCACACCTGTTTTAAAGTTTAAAGATGGCTTTGTTCAGCGGTTAGAAAATTTTATTCTCCTAAACTGACCTGTCGAATAATTATTCGTAATTATTGAGTAAATGAATTGTTATATTGTCGAATGAACGTATTGCTCTTGCCATATGTAATTGTGCTTTTAATAAAGGGCACTGTTTATTGATCAGCGCGCCGGTGCAGCAGGTGCAAATTCATCGAGCTTCAGCGTCTCCGTTTTATTTGCACTCTCTGCATTTGAAATGGAACAGAAATATGCATTCGATCTTTAGTAGAAGAAAGAGGTAGAAAGGAAGGTGGAGAAGATGCGAAGAGACACATCGGCGAAGCGGTAAAGCGGAAATTGGCGGAACTTCCGAACCCTAAACACTTTTCAAGGAGAGGTGACGAGAAACTTAGATCTCAACCGAAGTTTTCATCAGTTTTTAGACAAAAGACAAACAATGGTGACGGAAAAAATCGGAAAAATCTTCAAAGATGTCTACTACGATCAGTTCAAATGGTGGGTTTACGAAGAATTACATTTTTTCTTTGAGAGATTGCAGAGTAGACTTGATGGTACCTGGCGACCCTAACCTCTACTTGTGTTAGATTTCGCTTTAATTATTTCATTATTTCTCGCAGAAAAGAATTATTATTATTAGGTTTGTAGCTGAATTTTAGTATACACTTGTTGAACTTGTGTCCATTACGACCATTTCTACTAATTTAGGTTAACTTTAATTTCTTACGTTGGATCAGCCCTGGTGAAAATTTTTCTCATAATTTTTATACGAATTGGAACATTTTTCAAAAATACTCATTGTAAGAAATATTCGGAAAGTTTACATCTTTTTTCTCAAAATTTTTATACAAGTGAATTCTGAAATATTCTGAAATTTCATCTCATAATATTTTTAAAAAATATTTTTTAATTGTTTAGATTTTATAACATTTCATCAGAAATTATACTTACAAAAATTTTAAGAAATCTGACGATATTTCATAAGTAACATATATGAAAAATTCTGAGAAAAGATGTAGATTTTCTGAGAAGTGTTCCAATTCATATAAAAAATATGAAAAAGTTATCAAATTATATAGAAATTCTGAGAAAAATTTTCACCAGGGAGTTGAACTTATTTCTATCTTTTTCTAGTTTTAAGAATTAAAGAAAGATAATAAGTAAAATTAAGATTAAATTTAATAATGAATATTAGTAAAAATGGACATATTAGGACCTAATTCCACCAGATTAACTTTAATTATAGAAATTAACTTCAATTAACTTTAATCTTGGTTTAACTTACTGTTTATCTATTTTTAATTCTTAGAAAAAGATAAAGAGTAAATTGAACTGAGAAAATATTAACGTATCTGCAATTTCTGCAGCTTATATAAATATTTCACATTAATATCTGTCTTTTTTTCACAGGTCAATGGTAAAGAACATTGCTTTCTTTGTCGTTGGCGTTAAGATCGCCATCGAATGCAATGGGATGACGCTAATGCCACCAGTCTCCGTTTAAACTTATCATGAATCCATCATAGAATCCAGAGAACTGTCTGAATGTTCTATCGGTTTCTTGCGTCTCGTACACCGATTACAATTATTGTGAGAATACAATTCAATTTTATCTGTATTATATGAAACTGTATATTTTGTATTTGAAACATATTTATTAAAGAATTGTTAATAAATAATGTACAGTATCTGTCGTTGCATTTGCGATATTTAAGATGACTTCGACCTTTAATCAATCAATTATATAAGGCCCATTTCACAA